TACTAACTTCATAGTTTTGTGAACACAAAAATTGCTAATAAAGATATACTGTAATCTATTAATCAAAAGTAGACTTACATATATGGTATATTCATATAGTATTACATAACTGATTTGTTAATATTTAAATTTGTTTATTTAACAAAATTAAAAAATGAAATTAACTATAAACTACTATAGGCAATCCATGTTTTGAAATGATGCTCCAGTTGGGACTCCTTGTGATAAAATGGCTGTTCAGATATAGAAAGAGAAGCAAGTGCTTCCTAGTGTGGTGTAATTGAAACAGAATGAGTATCTTTCTAAGCTTGTAATTTTTTTTTACAATTATAGAAACATGCAGTATCAGAATCCATTTTTGTTGTCCTCCTGTTTTTAAACCATTAATATGTAATTCAAATGCATATAAGGAGCAACAAAAAGAAATTAATCCTACAGAATAAAATTAATATATGGAATAACTTCTCTTGAACAGGGAGCAATAATATCACATCATAGAAACCAGAATATGATGGGGTCAGCTAACTGTTGGAAATCTGGTGCTCAAAAGACATTTCCAACAGTTAGCTGAAGCTGTCATATTCTTCCTGAAAAGATGAATAGGTATTAAAAGGAGGTGGCAAGGCCAGGATGATCTTAACTGATCTTGAAAGATGCTAAGAGATCAGATCTGGTTAATTCTTGGATAGAGACCACTAGGAAATCCCAAGGCTGTATGTTAAACTGGGAAGAAGACAATACTACTACTATTAATAATAATTGTTATTATTATTTATTAAATTTATATGCCATCGACTCTCAACAACTCTGGGTAGCTAGTAGCAAACAATAGCAATCCACTTCTAGATGGTGACCGAGAAAATAACATGGGTATTATCTAGTCGCCAGGTATAAGATTTAGCTTGAGGGAGTCTTTACCTTTAGATTCTAAATAATTATTGTTTTTAATTAATCATAATTTTCTATATTAATGTGACATAGAGATGCCAAGGTGATCTTCCAGATATGTGCTTTGTAAACAACATTGTTTTTCAACTTAGTCTATAAACCCCAGCCATTTATTTTATCTATTGTTGCTCTGAAAAATCTGCTTTATTGTGTAATTCTATGCACATCTTTGTAGGTCCCATTGAGTTCTTTGGAACTCACTCTCAGAAAGAAGAATATAGGACTGCTTCCTCATTGCGTTTCAACCTGATATTATTCTAGTATCTACTTTAAACACAGATTAACTGAGAATACTTAGATTGGCCTGCTTTTAAAACTCAAAAATAATATATATCATCCATCACATGATGAAGTTTAATTTAAGAGTACTGCAACAAAAGTTTGAGACTGTACACATGAAGAAAAGAGTGCTAATTCTTTCAGAATGTTAATAAAGGGGATATGTTAACTTTTTAAAAGTTCTGTGTCTGCTGATATCAAGATCATATCTAAATCTTTCTTTTCTAGAGATATAAAGACTTTGAATATCTTCCTCACCAAAGCAAACCTCATAAAACTGGGGGACTATGGTCTAGCAAAAAAATTGAACTCTGAGTATTCCATGGCTGAAACTGTAAGTGGCTGCAGGACTAAGATGATGATGATGATGATGATGATGATGATGATGATGATGATGATGATGATGCAGCTGTTTGGGACTTTATGCACTAGAGATAATTTGATCAACTATTTCTTACTTACTCTTCTTCTGAATGATCTCTAATAAAAGTATCTAGAATTTGCAATTAAGACATTTGAATTCTTTGAATTCATATCTGGAAGCTTTTCAGTAGATATTTTTTCTTGGCCCTATATATATGCTTTCCAAGATTCTGTGCTTAAAAAGTATTTCTGAATATTCCTTTGTTTGTTGTATTTCTGAATAATGAGTTCTCCTCTTCTTTCAGTATATCACTTAAATACTTAATAGAATGTATAATTTATTTTAAAGCCTTTATTTCTTACTCCATAACATTATTTGACCTCAACTGAAATCATGTCTGTGTATTTGGGAATTAGCTTGCTTGAACTTGGAGAGATTTAGGCTTTGTATTTAAATTTATAGCCTACCCCAGTGATTCACCTGTACCATCATATCTAGATCATCCTTTGCTTCTCACATAAATCTTTTTCTATAAGCTCTCCAGGTATAACATTCTTATTTTTTTTCTCAGCACATAAGCTATTATCAGTGAACAAGTTATCAAACAAGGAATCTAGAACATTGTGAGATTTCCATTAGTGAAATGTCTAATGTATAAATGTCTTGTGAAAGCAAGTTTCAACTAAATATGAACTTATGCTTGGGGCAGAATGCATTACAGAGAGTGGTGGCAAATCCTGGTTCCTTGATGAAAATCTCTAGTTGTCTAATTAATATCTCCGTGTAATATACAGTACTTGTCATTCCAAAGGTAGTTTTAAAATAGTTTGCATGTGAAAGCTGTTAAGCATACTCCAGTCTAGTCTCTTCCAGAAAGGAACTACCTGTATATACTTGAGTCTTATAGGCAGAGTCTTCGTTTAGTAGGGATAATCTTTCAGTAGCCAAGAATACAGCTGTTGAGGGTTACTGTGAATACAGTGATGGTATTATACAAGTAGGCAGGAGTAGGATTTTCTAAGGTGTGTTTTGGGCCTTATGGAGAGAGGAATTCTTTGGTTTTATTAGATGTGGTAAAATTTCAGTAGTTCACACATTTATTTTGTGTTGTTTCTTGACAAAAATTGATAGGTGATGATACCACCATTTTTCTAGCCTCTATTTCATTAAGTTCTGCAGGCCATGAAAAAGGAGGAAGAGTATGCTTTGCCCACCTCTGATTTATAGCATGATATCTGCAGTTTCATCACCCTTCTAAAAAATATTCTTTTAATCACATTTCTGGGAAAGAACATATTGAGTCGAACAGGTTTTGATTCAGTCCTATCAAGACCAAGTTGCTGTGAGTGTTGGGCCACATGGAGATATTTCATCCTTGATTCTGAGCTTGGTTGCACTGCCTTGTTTGGACTCAGTGCACAATTTTGGGGAGTCCTGGACTCACAGTCCTGGTGGAAGGGCAGGTGGCAGTTGTGGCCAAGGGGGCCTTTGCACAACTTTGTCTTATGCACCAGTTGCACCCATTCGTGGTCTAAGGGTGCCCTCCTTATGGTCATTCATGCTTGTCAACTCCCAACTGAATTATTGCAAATTATAGCCTCTACATAGGCTGTCCTTTAATACTAACTGCAAGCTTCAGTTGGTCCAGAATGCAGCAGTATGGGTAGTTATGGGTGTTCCTCCATTATGCTACATGATACCTCTACTCTGCAAGTTGCACTGGCTCCCAGTAGGCTTCTGATGCAGTTCAAGGTGTTGGTTATCACTATAAAACCCATTGTGGCATAGGACTGGGAATCCCTATATGCTCTCATAGGGAGGGCTCAGTCCAGGGCCCTTCATTGAAACAATGTCACATGGGACCTTGGAAGCATGTCTTCTTGGTGGTAGCCCCTTCCTTTTGGAACAGTTTCCCCCTCAATATATGGTTGGCCCCAACCCTCTAGGCCTTTGGAAAGGCAGTTAAGACCTGGTTCTTTCCCTAGGCCTTTGGGTCAGGATGAGCAGAGTCCCATTGGATGAGTTATAATATATCTTAGTTCTGGTCACAATTTTATTGCTTTAGTTGTTTTTAATGCTATGTGTTGTTTCCTCTGCATTTCGTGTTTGTTGTTGATAACTTTTGTATGCTGCTCAGAGTTACATTGTTTGAGTTGGGTGGCCACATAAATGCTCTAAATAATAAATATTCCCAAGACTTGGTTTGAAAGAAAAAACAAACTGACTAAATGATACAACTAATGATATAATGGGCTAGAGCTTCTAATATTTATGTTGGCCCTCACATTATACTGGTAAATCTTTTTCTCTCTGCCCTATTTGTTTAGTATAATTGTTTGATGTCTTTTTTGTTTTGACTATTTGCTTCAGTTCAATTTGCCCCCTTTTTAATTCAGTCTTTATTTTGCTCTAATAAGTAATTAAGAGAAAGCACAGGTATTCTAGATTATACATAGGGCAATATATGTGATAAATTCCAGTCATTACTTTTCTCACAATATGCTAAAGCAAAGTCTGAGCATTTGGGAGGGGAGAGGATAAAAGGACAACAGATTAGCACTTACAGGGAAACTATTGCATTGTGTCTGCTTGATATGGAGTAGCTGGCACAATATCTCTAATATTTTTGTTGTGTAGTTGGTAGGAACTCCGTACTACATGTCCCCAGAGCTCTGCCAGGGAGTAAAATATAACTTCAAGTCTGACATATGGGCAGTTGGCTGTGTTGCTTTTGAGCTCCTTACATTGAAGAGAACTTTTGATGCAACGGTAAGTCACTCCTTGTGATTAATACTGCATCACCCTTTTTATATTACATTGTCCTATGGTGAGTGATTAACAGAGGGTGACTTCAATTTTAGGGTTTATATGACAGTGAAAGTTCTAAGGGAACTGTGGGTTTACAGTTTCAAAGAACATCATCTCAGCTGGCTGGGGAATTCTGGGAGTTGAAGTCTACATATCTTAAAGTTGCCAAGTTTGAGAAACCCTGATTTAGATCATTTCACTTTTCCATCTTAGAATCCCTTGAACCTCTGTGTGAAGATTGTACAAGGAAACCGGGCAATGGAGGTAGATTCTAGCATGTACTCTGTGGATCTCATCCAAATGGTGCACTCCTGCCTTCATCAGGTTGGTGAGATACAGTTTACCTAGATTGCAGCCTGTGAAACTCTTCACTAGCTGTCAGGCACTGAAAACTCCTTAACAAGCCCATTTGCTTTCTCTAGAGCAAGCAATTAAAAGTTTTAAATTATTGTCTGGGTAACAATTGAATTATTGTTTTTTCTTTCTGACAGAGGTAGAATCTGACCAATAATTCGACAACTCAGCAGATCTATTTTCAGTTTTGAATATTTTTCCTTTTTTTTTTTAGCTGGATGGTTTGCTGTTTTTTTCGCATTTCCCTCCCTTTTCTTAATACATTTAATAGTCACATAAGGACAGAAGCCAAATAATGCTTATCTTCCTTTTTCTCTTACCTCACATTCTGTCATACTTTTTTTACCATGAAGAAAGCAAAACTATGTAATTTTTCCCAAAAATGAAAAAAAAAAAATTACCTTCTCACCACAAAGGAATATAAACACATACTGGTTTATAGCAACCCACCCCATTAAGATATTTCTCCTTCATCTTGTAGGTCCAGATACCTTTCAGTATGAAAATTATGAAGTGGCCAAGAATCAAGTTTGACCTTGAAGGACTTCTATCTTAAATAGGAAAGAATGCATTTTAAAAAAATTATCAGAAGATGATATTAAAAAAGAAATGAACAAAATTTAATTTAAGTTTATTTCACACACAGAAGTCCAAGTTTAGTTTACAGATGCCCTCTTTTTATTTTCAGGTTTGAGATTTTGAACAGGAGTCTCTGTTTCTGAAGTCATCAAGCATTATGAGCCATGTTGAGGCTGAGGCTTATCTACAGAGTTGTCTCAATCAGGATGGGGCTGGATTTTCTCTGCAGAGTAGTTATACATTGAGCAAATGCACCATAGTCTGTTTTTTTTCCTATAGAGGTCTTCTTTGGTTTACTGAGTCAAGGTGGAAGGGAAATTTCTATGGTAAAAGAGCAAAAGGAAAGTTGCTATATTAAACTAGCAAAAACATTCTGTTTTTTATCTCCTCTAGCTGATAAATCAAATTCTGGGGTTATTCCTCCCCACCCACTCCCAGAAATCCAGTCCCCAGTCTGGTAGTGTTAACTTTGATGTCACTATGAGCTTGTCAAACTGGGTTGGCAAATCTTTTGGAGAAATGGGTTGGCTGTAAGGAGAGGTAGAAGTTATGTCTCTTTTTCTCTCAGCAGAAAAACAAGTGTTAGCACACAGCCCTTATGAATTCAGTGAGTAATTTTGGTTTAAGTGCTAAAATAAAACACTTCATTTAAACACTAAAAAGTTGCCATGCATTGTTTGGGAATATGTAAGAGGACAGGAAGAGCAGCAAAATGGATGTAGTTGGCTCCTTGGTTCTGCCTTCAGAGTTCTACTGAGTACCAGTCATAACTGGTTCCACTTCTTTTGTCACTTAGCTTCAAAGCAAAATGTCCTGTGTGAAGATGTAAGTTTCTGGGCTTGCTATGCCTTTGAACTCTGCAGATCTAATAATTTTGTCTCCCTGAATACTGCAGTAACATGAGAGCTGTTAAACTACCTTTGTATTGCCTCTGAGTGTTCTGCTCATTTTATGGTCCTTTTGATTTGCTTTGTTTGGGGAAATGGGAAGAGACCACAAAGATGTAACTTGTACATTGCCCTAGACTTAAAGATTTGAAAAATGATCCCTCTCCTTAGGGAATGACCTGTCACTCACCTCTTTTAGGATCCAGAGAAGAGGCCTACTGCTGATGAGATACTTGAGAGCCCATTTATCAAGAAGTGCAGGAGGTAAATGCTCATACATATATTAGACACAAACAGATTATGTGTGTGTACATCAGAAGAAACCACAGAACCTTGTACTGCCTTATCATTATTGGTGTTTCATGTATGCAGTCACTTAGACTGCCTGTTGAGTTCTACTTTGAGCTAGGCTGCTTCTTTAAAGATTAAATGATATTCATGAGTCCCTTGCAGCACTGAATTAAAAATAAGAATGCTAAAAGTATAGAACATTTAACTTTGAAACTGAGCTATATATATATATTCAAGTTTTCTCTTCCCTCAGTTTTACCTGGCTTATCCTAGGCTTGTTTCAATATACAAAATATATTGGATTATATCAAGAGAAATAAATGCATGCTGCAAGGGACTAGTGGAGCAACATCCTCTGATTAGTCTTGTTCATAAAATTATTTATAATGGTAAAAATCAGGAGAAGTAGCAGCTTTTCTAACACATTTCATTAAAAGGCATAAGCTTTTGTGCAAGCTTATGCAGATCACAAAACATATGCCTTTTAATAGAATTGGTTAGTTGGAAAAGGTGCTACCAGATTCCTTCTGATTTTTGCCATCATAGACTCTCCTCCTACAATGTTTATAATAATATGTAGGCAAGCCAGTATTTGTGATAGCAGTTTTCTAATGTATGCTCAAGCTCTGAAGTAGTAAGATATTTTTAAAATGTTGAAATAAGCTTTTTATGTATTGCTTTTCAGTCCTCATATAGCAGATGCTGGGTGAACCTTCACAACAAACAAAGGGATATTCTCATATATTCATAGGAGATACCATAATGTTAATGGAGGATAGTAATTCTATTAGATAGTGTAAAAATCTAAGTATTGGATAGAGGAGGCTTAACTCCCCTAGATCTAATTTGCTAGAGGGATTAGATTAGGCAGAGATGCACCTTTGCAATCCTCTTCTGCCAAAAATAATCCATTAGTTGGAGTGCCTGTTCTGTGAAGGCAACTGTTATACCTGCAGTAGAGTTCTGCAGATGGCTGATGGGGTTCAGACTGATAGCAGGTTCATACTAGGCATACTGGCCTAGATCTTGAAAAACAGTATTATGGGGCTAGCACAATGGCTTTGGATCCCTTGAATCCAAATTTCCTCCAGTCCCTAAAAAAAACCCCGCAGCCCCCAATGATCAGAATCCTTATCTATGCTACCTGAGCTGATGTAGAAACATTTCCTTCAGAAACAGTAACTAGCCTTGTATTGTTTAGAAGAGGGGAACAAGATAGGTTGGAGGGAAACATTTCTCAAACTTTCTGTTCATGGACCAGCATTGCTTGAGATGTATTTATTGTTTTATTTTATTTATTTAATTTGTATGACCACCCATGTCATCAAGTGGCTCTGGGTAGGGAACAAAATTTAAAAAATAAAAACAATTAAAATAATTCAAAAATTAAAATACATAGCCAAGAATAAATCACTCATCATAATGACCAAATTAACCACGAAATGGGTCCTTGTGCACATTAGGGGCCCCAGGCCTGGGCATAGAGCCAGGTCTTTAAGGACTTACAAAAAGCTAACAGGGTCAGGGCCATCCTGATATCCAAAAGAAGAATATTCCATAAGGCGGGTGCTACAGCAGAAAAGGCATGTCTTCTAGGCCCCACCAATTGGCATTCCTTAGCCAATGGGACCCGAAGCATGCCCACCCTGCCTTGAGATTATCTCCCTAACATCTTTCTCTCTCTGTCTCTCTCTCTCTCTCACACACACACACACACAAAAACACACATATATACACACACAGTCTCTCTCTCTGATACAGTAGTGACAGCAAAAATAACAATGGTTATTCTAATTATTTTATATGTGAATTCCTTCCAACATTTTAAAACAATGTATTATTCCTTCCGATGACAACATTTACAAAGGTTGCAAAAGAAAAGTGGGGAAATAATTAAAAATATTCAGTCTTCGGTATATGTATGTGGAGAGAGAGAGAGAGAGAATATAAAACTATAAGTATACTTTTATATTGGTGGTAAATGCAAGATTGAGAATGTGTTTGTTGCAAAACTGGTTGTCCCATCTTGCTAGAGTGACTGGCTCTACTTGGGTGGCGGCCATATATAGTTAAAGATAGTGACTAAACATGTCACACAGTGGAGGTTCTTAGATTACTGTATCCTCTATTTTATTTTGTTCGGAAACAATCAAAGCAGATAGCATATGAAGTATAAAATAGAAAATAGAAAATAGAAAAACATATTGTACTGACAAATTGCTTATGCGAAGTGCTACATATCCTTCATGCAATAGCCTTGAAAAAAACTAGATTACAGTGGGAGAAAGTAAGCCAAATTTGCATAATTGAATTAACACCACAAGCAACTTAATAATTAGGTTTGGGAGGCAACAAATTATAAGTCAATTTTCTGCTGCCATTATATTTTTAGTTCCATGAATGGGGGAGGTGCTTGTGAGATGTTCCATCTCTTGTGCCAAAAGTACTTGGCTGGCTTTAGGAATTACTCACTTTGACTTGGGCAGGAAGATGGGTGATCCATTTGCTGCTTTGCCTCATGTAGCAAGATGACTTGGCTGGTTGGGCCTTTCATTCCCTTGGCTTCCTTCAGATGATCTTACCATCCTTACAGCACCATTTGTATTGTGGTTCTGGCATTGTTGTGTGACATGACCTCCAGTATTGGTTTTTTTGTTTTTGTTTTCATGTTCCAGGCCCCATACTAGATTCACCTCTTTACATCTCTCTGCCTGTAAGTGTAGAAATCCAGCATTGGACTGCAAATGAAGCTTACAAATAGACTCTTAAGTTTGGTCCAGATTAGTCCCTATACAAACAGAACATATTCCTTCCATTTGTAGAGGGTACACTTTTTCAGAAGAGGCTTTTTAATGCAGGATGGCAGTTTTTGTCAATTTCTTCTTTTCCCTACAGCTCTCAAGCAATGAAGAGTCCCCTTGGGAGTAGATTTTTGGGAACATAGGGACTGAGGAGAAGGGCAAATTTACTTCTCCTACTTTCTGCCTATGACAGCACCCAATTTACATGGTTACAACACAACACTGAAGCATGCCCACTGTTTATACAAACTTTATTAATCTATGCATGTTATGGATATTGTGTATTATAAGCTTTGAGTAACAGTGTTCACTATATGGAAATTATAACATTTACTGCAGGCAGAGTTCCTTGTATTTTATCACTGAAATGGCATGCAGTACAATTTTATGAAAGGATCATTTGCAGTATCTTTAAATCTTATGATTCCTGTTGAAAAAGCTGTATTGACGTACTATTCTTACTGTTTATTCTTCATCCTGGCAGGGACATGGAGGAAAAAGTTGTGCTTCTTAATGGCCCAAACAAACGACCAAGGTAAAGGAATTTATGTTGAAGAGCAGAACGGAAGAAAACAGTTGGGCTCTGCAAAGCATCATAGCATGAGCAAAGCTCCTCTCCTAAAAGTGTTAAAATAGCTGTGTCCTTTGGAAGGCTCTCTCTGCTGCTTCAAAAACTATCCTAAGCTATCTGTGCATGCATGTGTTTATACAGATGACACTTCCGCTGGAAGGGGACAATCTAGATAATAATAGGAATCTGAAGAGATCTTGCAGGGTGGGTAGGCAGAGCTGATACACCTGTTCTCTCTCTCCCCTCCTCCTTTACATGGCCTCTACACCAGCCAGCACGATATTTGTCCTTACCTCCCCTTAGCTGTTCCAATGCTTGAATTCCACTGCAGCATGTCCAATTCAAATGCAGCATAACTCAAACAGCTGGCTATTTTTTCTTCCAGTCTTCCCAGTATCTTCCTTTCTCTTAGTTATTGCCACCAAATTTGAATTAAAGAATGGTGTAATCCAACCAGCTGCCTGCTCTATTTTCCTAGCACCTCTCTGACCCATTCTGTGCCATTGCCAATGGCTTTGCCTTTCCTCCATTGTCTCGCACCCTGGAACATTTCACACATGTGTTCTGGCTCCATGCCCATGCCAAATATACATGTTGCAGGTCCATGTCTGGACCTGCATGTGCTTTGATCTGAGCACAGACCACAGGGAAGTGTTTTGGTCCAAACATAGATCACCTGAACCTGACTGTTCCTCACTGAATGTTTTGCATAACTTTTCTTGGTAGATAATTACTATAAAACAATACTATCTTTAAGACATTTTCATTATAAAATATGTAAGAGTTAAACTCTGATAAATTATATTTCACAGAACTGAGGCTTCAGATTTTATTTTTGTTGTTAACCATGTCCATCATTCACTTTAGATTTCCATTTACTTTACACCAATCTCTACTTACAAATAGTGCTGTATTACTGAACATTTTACATATACAAATAAAAATGCCAGTGATTTAAATTGTCACAGTATTTGTACACTTTCTCATAAGTTTATTCATGTCACTACTTCTAAAAATTCAAAGTAGTATATGTGTCTTCAAATTGATCTCTGATTTTTATTTGCCTTATTTGTACAACATGCTTTCTTCCATGTTTCCATGATGTCTGCGTAGCCTCTGAACCTAAAGCATGCCTGTATGTATTTATATATATGGAAAACTCTTAGCACTTGTATGAAGTGTTTCTGCATGGAATCTGGAAATTAAATTTTTCCCATCTATCTTCTCTTTAGAGGCTTAGAAAAGCAGCTCATGGTAAACAGTGTATCCATACAGATCTCTTGTGATTTACAGAACAAGTACCATGAATGAAGCACCTATTGCAGTGGTGACTTCACGCACTAGTGAAGTATATGTATGGGGGGGTGGAAAGTCCACTCCTCAGAAGCTGGATGTAATTAAAAATGGCTGCAGCGCACGACAGGTCTGTGCAGGAAACACCCACTTTGCAGTGGTAACGGTGGAGAAAGAGCTCTATACTTGGGTGGTAAGTGTCAAAAGAATTTGGGAAGTTTGGGAGGGAATTCTCCAAAACACTATTCTCTGGCATCTGCCATCAACCAAGGGATCAAGCGCTACTAGGAATTTGCATCCTGCGCTCCAAGGAGGTCATCATGACAGATCATATTGGCCCCATCCATTGAGCAAGGAAGCAGCAGTTCATTTATTCCTCGCTCTATGTATGTATTTATCCATCCATGTTCCAAATACATGAAGCTCCAACTGCTTCATAGAGCTGCATGCTAAAGGGAAATAGCCTTTGGCCCAATTCAACAGCAGGGGGGAATTTAGTATTTCTAGAGTTTAATATTTTATTTACTTTTTACTGTTATTGGTATGCCACCTATTTGAGCAGCTGTAGGTGGCTTACAATAAATGCATATTAAGAAGCCATAAACACCATTATAATCCTAGAATGATAACTGTTGCTGTCTTCAGTTAAAATTTTCTTAACCAAATGTCCTGCAAAAGAAGACTGTTTTGACCAACTTTCTAAAAACTAAAAGAGTGGGGGCTAATCCAACCTCAAGGGGCAAGCTGTTCCAAGGTGAGGGGCTGCCACTAACAATACTGTTCTCCAGTTCCCAATCCCCTGGTCTCTCTAGGGGTGGGTACCCATAGCCTCTTTTTCTGGCTAGACTATGTAGGGTGGGCAGATTCTACCTGGAGATCATACCAGAGGTGCTAATGGTCAAATTGGTAGACGGCTTTAAGTTATAGCACCTTGAATTCAGGTGGAATGGACCTCATGCAAAACAGATGTTAATCTAATGCTGAAAATAATATTCAGCCATTGTAACTAGTAGCCTTATCCATGGAGAAAAATATTTAAGAGTGTGAAGACAATATAAAATGGATTTTAACTCATATTAAATATAGTCTGTGTCAGGAAGGTTTTTTCCTAGTGAATTCCAAGTTTAATTTCTATGTTTTGATATATGCCATATCACTGTTGATGTCTGATACTATTACATAATCTTGATAGAAAAGCAGAAAATGTACATGTCTATTTTTACTCCTCTCTGGGTACATAAGTGGTATTCCCTCATTCAGAGTTTGCCTACTACAAGGTAGGTTCCAAAGATCAAGAGGTTTTCAGCTCCCTCAAAGATGGCACCTCCTGTTTCTTCCAAAAAGCACCCCAAAAGTTGGATGGTCATCTGGAGCAGCACTCCATAGGATACAAAAAAACTATAATTATTATTAGATGCTGAAAGAAAAATAGGCCACTTTACCCTGTGTGAGCACAGAGGAACATAAAAGTCTCTCTGGATCCTAGACAGAGTCTATATTATTTCTGGCTTAGTTTCTTTTCACTAGCAATATTCCTTGGCTCTTAGAGTACTTTATCAAATCTGTTTTTTTAACAGAACATGCAGGGAGGCACTAAACTGCATGGCCAACTGGGGCACGGAGACAAAGCTTCCTATCGGCAGCCTAAGCATGTGGAAAAATTGCAGGGCAAAGCTATCCGTCAGGTATCTTGTGGTGATGACTTTACAGTCTGCGTTACAGGTGAGAGACAGATTAAGGTTAAATGTATCAAAAATGTAATGGAGGAACTTAAATAGTATATTAACTAAAAGAGAAAATACCCATTGCATGCAGAGAATATGAAATACTTAGGTATTGGTAAATCTGCAAGGCAGACAAACCTGCAACAGCTAGAATTAGGACAACTTCCAAAAGCCAACTTATATTTATTTTTGTTTTGTGTTCTTTGCAATTTCAGTATTATTACCCATTATATTAGATTTTGTGATTGAATATATAAGTAAAATAAAACAGAAGCAAAGATTAAAAATAGATAGAAGATTATAAATGGCAGTCTTTATGTAAATAATTCAAATATGGGGCAGACTGTAGGATGCTGTAGTAGATTAAACCATATTAGACCTAGCTTGATCGAAGTAATTAAATTACACTGTAGTCAGATTCTCCCTGTATTAATGATGAAGATGACCATTGGCTTTAGGCATCCTTTGGATTTTTAAGTACATCCTATGTTACTCATGTATCCCTTGCTTTCCTACAGATGAAGGTCAAGCCTTTGCCTTTGGCTCAGATTACTATGGCTGCATTGGCATAGACAAGGCTTTTGGCTCTGAGGTGCTGGAGCCCCGGCAGCTCAACTTTTTCCTCAGCAATCCAGTGGAACAGGTTTCCTGTGGAGATAATCACGTGGCAGTGCTGACACGAAATCGTGAGGTCTACACATGGGGCTGTGGAGAATATGGTAGGTTACCTTACATGCAGTCTTTAATCTTTGGCAAAGAGTAGATGAATGATTGATAGAAAAAAAAATTCCTTGGAGTACTGTCATGATAGACCAGATTAAATAAGGATCTGTACTTCTGGAAAGGTAGATGGTTTAACTTGTGAATTTGGTATTCAGACCTGTTTCCTCAGAAATTGAGAGCTTTCTTCAAATCTGAACATTATTATCATTATTGCTTCTCCCCAAATATAGGCCGCTTGGGTTTGGATTCAGAAGAGGATCACTCCATCCCACAAAAGGTAAAATTGATTGAACTTGACTGTATTTCCTGGGTTTCTAGAATATTCAATCTTGAGACATTTTTGTTCCAATTCAGCATATTAAGAATAAACATTTGTTAAGGTTTTTTAAATTAATACAGACAAGGGGCAAGAAGAAACTTATTCTGACAACAGCACCTTACCATGTGGCTTTATTTTACTTTCCTCCTTATAAAGTAGATGATAGATATAAGAAATATTGTATTACATATTTAGTCAGGCACATCTACTCTGATTAACAGCATATCTCCATGGTGTTAGACAAAGGTTTATCCTATCCTTGCTTTTCTTATGAATTGGAAATATTAATTCTTAAAGTGCCAAACTGATATGAGGTTTTCTTTATATGTGTTCCAATTCAATGTTACTTGTAAAAATGGTGGAGTGTTTTCCTTTTTTCTTTTAAGTAACTTTATATAATTGTTATATTTTGTAAATCCTCATTGTATTTTTTTCTTCTTTTTTTTTATACAATAAAAACTAAAAATAAATTGAAAGAAAGAATAAAACCTTTGGCTTCTTGTCACTAAATCTTTTTCTCTATCATTTAACAGACTAGGAAGAAGGGCTTTGATTCTTTCTACAACTGCTGTTTTCCCACTCCAGGTGTTAAGAAATGCCAGGGATTGAAACTAGGACCTTCTATATACTAAACTAGAGTCTCTTTTGGTTGGTACTCTGCAGCAACTGCATTTAGTTGCTGAGGTATCTTACATATTTCTTTTTTAGGTAGAAATTCAAAAGACTTCCAATATTGTCTCAGTCCAGTGTGGCAGTGATGGAACCTTTCTGCTCACACAGACTGGCAAGGTGTTGGCCTGTGGTCTGAATGAATTCAACAAGCTAGGCCTGAACCAATGCACTTCAGGGATCATTAATCATGATGTGAGTGGCATTGTATGAAAATAGGGAAATAATGTTTACATGAAATATATGCATATGATTTCTTAAATTCATAACAAATATTTGTTGAGTTGTCATATTAAAAACAACCAAGTGGGGAAAAACCCAAATGAATATGGTTTATGATTTCTGGAAATAATTTTATCTGTACAATTCTATACTGCATATGTTTGGGAAGGACCAATAAATACTGCTTTTCTTAGGAAGACAGAGTCTTATGATATTAAGACTTTCTCAAGCTCTGCGTAGATGGTTCTTGATTAAAGTGTGAGCATGCAGAATCACGGCATGGGTTTTGTAAGACTGATCTCTTCTCATAGGCTTACCAAGAAATCCCATATGCTACTACTTTCACTTTGGCCAAGAAACTCTCCTTCTACAAGATTCGCACTATTGCCCCAGGAAAGACACACACTGCTGCCATTGATGGTATGATCGAATTATATTGCATTCATCTTGTGATGTAGTTTCATTTCTAGATAATGGTGAAGTAACATACAACTTCAGTAGGTGGCAGCAGGCTGATCTCAGAACATAAGCAATACCAGTTCTGGGTTACTACTCATATAGGTGACAGCCTGGGAATCCCAGAGCTGTTGGCTAAACTGGGAAGTTACAGAACAAAACAAAACACTGGAAGAAGGCAATGGCAAACCACTTCAGTAGAACTGACAAGGAACTGCATTGATACAGCCACTAGGAGTTATAGAGTGATAGCACTTAAAGGTTAGAAGGAACCTTAGAGATAATCTAGTCCAATCCTCTGCTCAGTGCAGGAAGCCACTAGAACAGCATCCCTGAAAGATGGCCATCTAACCACTTCTTAAACACTTCCACCAAAGGAGAATCCACTACCTTCCAAGACAGTTTGCCCTATTGTTAAACAACTCTCAACCTTTAGCAACATTTTCCTGATGCCCAACTGACATTTACTTCCTTGTAATTTAAACTTTGTTTCCTGTCCTGTCTTCTGAATTAATTGAACAATTCTATCCTATCTTCTACATGGATGCTTTTCAGATACTTAAGACAGCTATTATATCTTCCTGCAGTTCTCTCTTCTTCCAACCAAGCATACCCACTGTATATTTGCCTTCTTAACTATCTGAAAGGTAGAATTGTTACAATTAGTGCACATTTTCATCTAATAATACATCTTAAATCATCCCTGCTAAATTAGTTCCATAAACCATTTCAAACCACTGCAGACAGCAGACAAATTTAGTTCACTGGATTAAAAATAAAATCCTGAATGTTAATTCTGAAGTTCCTAGCAGTGGGAAAATGAATGAGATAAGAGTAATGAAATTACTATTTCTGTGGTTAGGTACGCTAATGACATGTAATGACATCTTAAGTCATCCCACCATCATTGTGGTGATATAACAATATGAGGACAGATTTGTTATTGCCTTAATGATGGCTGGGTAATGCTAGAAGATGGAATAATTGCAGAGTGATCTGAGTTTGGTTTAGACTAGGATCATAAACTAACTAAACTTAAGTTCATAGAAGGAAAATTTCCTATCCTTTCTTCCCCCTACAGACACATGTGCCTCCTAGACCCTTCAAGATCATAGTCATCCAGAGGCGTCCCCTGAGCCTGTGGAATACATAGGATATAGGGTGGGTGAGGGCAGAAATAGTTACCTCAAATGGAAAGACATTTGTTCAATTTATGGCAATTCTTCCTTCTTTGCTAAACCCGTGTGTCCCATTCTATGATCAGGATGGCCTTAATTCCACTGCATATACTTTGAACAGGGGGAGTATTGGTTCCTGTAGGGGAGATAGGGACAGGATTTTTTTTTTTTTGGTAATTCTTTTTAAATAAACATGAATAAGCAATGTTGTTCCTGTCTCTTTTCATTTACCTGGTTCCCTGTCCAACATTAACTTTAATTTTTAAAATATTAATTTACATTAAAAATAAATAAATGGAAAAGCAAGACATCAGCCTGTAGCATGATTGTTATTAGGAGAATTCTCCTGAAATATATATATGCCACATAGGTATTCTTTGACAACAAAAATAGAAGTGATTGCAGCTCTGACCTTATCTGGAATATTTCCACCTGACCAGGAAAAAAAAAGACAGGTAATCTGAGATTGTATATAACATCATAAGGAGCAGCTAAGGAAACAGCAGAGAGCCTCAGGATTCTCTCTAGTAAGACTGACTTTTACTGACTCTGGAGTCTTATGACTGGACATACCTACACTGTCAATGGGCCAGAGCCATTTTGCTTTCAGAATTCTAGATGTGCCTAATTATCATGACCCTAATCAAATCTAATGGAAACACATGTATGTTGATGAAGATATGATGAAATCATGCATATAAGCTAATACATAAGCTTACAGCTCACAGCACATTTTTCAACAGTGTTTGTCAGCTTTCTGCTTTATTAGTCCCTAATGGCATCATTGTTTTTGTTTCAGAGCGAGGTCGTCTGCTTACCTTTGGCTCCAATAAGTGTGGACAGTTGGGTGTTGGGGACTATAAGAAGCACCTGGGCATTAATTTGCTAGGAGGGCCCCTTGGGGGAAAACAGGTCATCAGAGTTTCCTGTGGTGATGAGTTCACCATAGCTGCTACTGATGGTAAGTATAGGCATTAGTGGGTTGGTGTGTATTTCTTTAAACTGGGCCTGCAAGGAATCAGAAATGGTTTGCTTAGAGATGATAATAGAAAAAAAAAATCCAGACTGACTTGAATGCACAAAATGCATACAGTATATTACTAGACAAGAAGTACTTTGTTGTGCTAATATATAATAAAGCCTTGCAAAACACCATATTTCTGCACTGATGTTACCTAGTCAGGTAATGAAACATCTGCAAGCAAACAATCAAACTCAGAGAGCAGCAAGGACTCCACCATATTTCTACGGGACTCACTAACTTGGTCTTATTAGATCTTTAAGTAGAAATAAATGTAAACTTTTGAGAATCCTTCAAAGGCAGTGTGGGGTTCTTGACTGATAAACTTTTTTATTTCCCAGATAACCATATATTTGCATGGGGTAATGGAGGGAATGGCCGTTTAGCAATGACACCAACAGAGAGAGCTCACAGTTCTGATATTTGTACATCATGGCCTCGGCCCATTTTTGGCTCCCTGCATTACGTCCCAGACTTATCTTGCCGTGGATGGCATACCATAATAATTGTTGGTGAGTATAAAAATGCTGGGGTCTGAAGGTAGATTATTAATCTTTTTCTCTAACTATAAGATACAACACATTACTTGGATTCACATGAAAGAATGGGTCATATCTGAGCATATATCAGATTTCCCATATTCTTTCAATTTTGGGCTGAGAAAATGTTCCTTTTTTCCCTCCAGAAAAAGTTATAAATTCTAAAACCATCCTTCGCTCCAGTAGCAGTGGCCTGTCCATTGGGACTGGTAAGTAATCAGACTGTTAGTAATACATAATTCTCTGTTGGAGTAGAAAGTATTACAATAGAAGAATTCAGAAGAACAGCACATCCTTTGCATAAAAATGTATCAAGTTCAATCTCTGGCATGGACAACTGGGAAAGATGTTGCTTTGAAAGTCACAGTATTATCACAGTGAATCACTATTATAACAGTATGGATTGTAATGAGCTAAGGTATAACTGCTGGATGGACCAAAGGCCTTACTATACAAGGCAGAACATGTATTCTGATAAATCTCTTCACTTTAACAGCTTGTTCTTTGCCATTGGAGAATAAATGAAATAGTGCAATTGGAGGGCCTTTCCTCATTGACTAGCTGCTGTAGTAATACAGTATGTCAGATAGGACGCTAAAACTATGATCACATTAAGCTGCATTTAAGCAATTCCCATTTGCCTGGGAAGAAAAGGGCCAGATTTGAGTAGCAGTCCATTAGTTCTTGTAAGTATTGACCTGCCACCTGGTGCTGAGAAAGTACAGCATCGTTGTCCAGTATGATATTGCAAGGGAGTTCAGTCTTTCTTCTTAATTCAACTGTTTCTTGAAGGAGGATGACAGTGGTCAGGAACCTGAGCAGAACAGCAATGGAAGAGTGATTTCACCATGCTAAGTGCTGTAGAGGGAAGGAAGTTTTTGGGTTGCCTGTAGCTTTGTCCCACTGTTCTCTCAGTATTGCCTGAGCAAGTGCTTTGTTCAAGCATGAAAGAAAAAGGTTCTAGGATAAATGTTCTCCACCCTCCTCTCTCACTATGCTTGTTGAATGAAGGTAGAGAAATTGTCTTTATTCCATTTCTCCTACACACACACACACACACACACAAACACGTGCTGTTTTTCTCAGGGTTTTTTAAGATTTTCTAATATTCTGTTCTTGTGACAGAGCTTTATTCATGCACACAAGTTTAATAAATTATTACTATTATTCTCATCAGGACAATCTTTTGGATTTGCTTTTCCCATCTTCCTCTTAATTAAAGACAAGCTACATTTTTTTCTATACATTTCAATGGCTTTCAGCAAATTCACAGAACTTCTATTTTATCTGTGGGTAGTCTTGTTTTTTATCCCTTACAAGTCAACCAAATTTGCTACTGAAAGAAATGATAATTTTAAACTAAAAAACAGGAAAAGCAGTTAGTATAACGTTAAGATACGAGAATATTAGGATTTTGGTAAAATACAAGAAATGTATGACTGGTGTGGTAATTGAAAGATAGGGAAAGCAAAAATGAAATGTTATGGAAAAGTAAAATAAATTTTGTCTTCATATTGTGCATGAGATAACAATATGATCATGGTGGCAACTCCTCGCTGAATTAAATCCTTGTAAAAACCCAAGAAATTTGATTCTTTGTCTCCCTGCTCCCAGTTCTGTGCATTACAGGTAGTCCACACTTAACAACCCTAATTGGGACTGACAACCCCGTTGCTAAGTGATGTGGTCATTAAGCAAAACATCACATGACCACTCTGCTTAGCAATGTCAGTTTCAGCAATCCCAGTTGCTGTTGTTGAGCAAATCCCACATGGTTGTTAGGTGAGGACCCACCTGGATCCAATCCATTCTTGGAAGAAGGTAAGGAGCTGCCTCCACTTCAGCTCCCCCCATCCATCTCCCCCCCCATCTCTGCCCTTTTGGCCACCCGCCTACTCACTGCCATAAGCTGCCCTGGCCACCAGGCCTTGCCCGCCACTGCGCACCAGTACCAGCCAGGTCCTTCTTTCACACCGGCCTCTTCATGCACCAGCTGGTGTGAAAAAGGAAGCCCTGGCCAGGTGCAGCACAGCATCCACCCACCCACAGCTCTCACCCACTGGTCTGTGGGACATTTCCATGGCACCTCACCCATGTGTGGCCAGGTTAGTGAGCCTAACGGAGGGGAGACAGGTGAAGATGACGATGGTCAGCTGGGGATGGGGTGGCGGCGGGACGGTGGTTGTAAATGCGGGG